CCCATGGGATTGTCTTAGATTAAATCAATATATTAATGCCTTATATCTCATCTAATAGCGACATTTTATTTGATTGCTTCATGTTGTAGGGTTTAACTCAATGTACTCTTTAGTTCATAGTTGTTGATGCCAAAGTTCTCAACAACGGGATTTGAGGCTGATCTTGGAGAGGTTAGGGTACATTGACCTCCTTTGGTAGCTAATCCATTAATGGACTATTGTGCTTCCCCACAAAATTATAACATGTTAGAGGATCGGAGTTGTATTCTTCGATGACTTCTATGACGATTAAGTCAATAGCGAGCTTGATCGAAGAAGAAATATAATTGTATGGTGTTAAATTTACAAAAAGATTGCTTACCCTTGTGCTGCAAACAATGTCTCTATTTATAGTAGGTCCAGAGAGGTAATTTTGTAATTTTGGTTGAGTCCAAGTAGATAGCTTAGTCAGTAGTTACTTTACAATTATCGACTTTGGACGGCATGAGTCACCCTTGTGATTAATGCGATGGTTGTTAGGTCTCATGTTTATGAGCCTATTGTCTAATCTGGTTCTGATGATTAACAAATAATTCCTAATCTTATTTTCTAGAATTTGTATTTTTTTCAAACATGCATCCAGGTTGGAGATTGGTTGGAATTGAGCGTTAACGATGATATTCATGGAGGTTGGCAGAAATTGGAATGAAGCTATCATAATTCAAGTCAAATACGAGATCGTGCTTCATCCTCACTACCAAGCTGAGGATCATCTAATATCGAGCTCAAATGAATACTTTAAGCTTGCGTATATTGTTTTTAGTTTAGGTCTTTTACTTTATGTGTTTATACTTAAAGCTCAAACTACACACATACACGTTTCGTTTTATCGCTTTCATGTTTAGCCATATAAATATGAAACTAATAGAGATATTTATATACATGCACACTAGTTTCTTATTTATTGTCTTCTTGAGAAAATAATGTGTTTCAGATTATAGACTTAATGATATTATTTTACATCTTTTAAAAAGTCTATGAATCCATTTGAAAATATCTCAAAACTTATTTGAAGAAATTTTATCAAAATCAACAAACTCGTATTTGTGACTGTTTTGCAAAATAGTGAGTGTTCATAAATACGAAGTGCTATTTTAGAAATTTTTTCTCTAACATATATATATATATATATATATATATATATATATATATATATATAATAGTTTTCCCAAGTTTTACTATTTTTGGAGTTGATTTGCTATTTTAATTTGAATTTAGAAAATCAACTTTTCAAGAAAAATCAAGTATCTGATATGTCAGTCTTCGGTCGACCGAAAAATCTATCAAGTTGACCGACCTGGACGAGTTTTTATAATATTCGATTTTACAGTCTAATCAGTCGACCGATTACTTGAATCAGTCGACCGAGAACATTATTTTTAGTCAACCGATTATGCTTTTCAGCTGACTTATCACTACCAGTTTTTACAGCTTTCTGTTTTACATTCGATCAGTCGACCAACCATATTTTTCAGTCGACTGATCAATGGCTATTTTGCTGTAACGACTAGTTTATGTTTTGTTGTGTTTGAGAGGTTATAAATAGCCCTCAAGACTTAGTTTTTTATAAGAGTTTTACATGAGGTTTTGGATAGTTTGTTTCTAAGTTTTTGAAAGATCTAAGTGTGTTTATTTTTGTGAAAAGAGTTTCACAAGAGAAGAATCTCAATTTTAGTTTTGATGCTCTCATCCTTAAATATCTACATCTCTTATTTTTCAGAGAAGTTTTCTAAATTCTTTTCTTCTGGCTAATCTATATTTTGATTCTCTTATATAAGCTAGAATTATTTGAGTCTAAATTTCATTTTGCTCATTGTTTTCACACACAACCACTTGGGCTTAAGTTTTTCACATTTAGTATATTTGGGTTGTGAGATTGTTTTATTGAGTGAGCTTACAAATTCGTTCTTACTTGTTTAGAAAATAAAATATTTATTTGAACTTATCGTTGAACATGTTGTAATACATAAGAACATTTAGAGGAGTGGTTGAAGTGAGACCGAGGTTAATTCTAAGAGGAGTGGGTTAGTAGTAAAGCCTAGAGAGAGGTTGTAAATCCAAATACTTGAGGAAGATAATATGAGTAGTCCAACACTTAGAGAAGTGTGGCTTGTGTGATTGACAACATGTGTATTATAAAAGTTTTTAGTGATATTTGAAAAACGTATTGTGTAGTTATTTTGAGATATAGTGGAGATCTCCTCGAGGTGAGGAGCGGAGACGTAGGTCAATGGTTGACCGAACTCTGTGATCATATTATTTGTTTACGATTGTCTTTTGCACACTATTTCACTTTTTATCTTGTGCTTGTTTATATCGCCTATTGTTATATTATTTATCCTTGCATATAATTTGTTGTACATCATATTGTTAGGATATTGCATCATTAGTCTTAATTTGGCATCAAAATCGGATTAGATTAACAATTCCCCTATTCACCCCCTCTAGGGTACTTTCAATGGTGACAGAGAAAGCATGATGCCGACGAAGTCGGATGAGTCATGAAGACTTTTGGGACTGGAGCAATAATGATTCTGATCATGCATTCAATATGATGATAACTGACTGCCGATGAGAGATCAAGGATAAACCACCTCCCGACTCTTCTCTATGAGAGGGTTGACAAATGATGCCTTTCGAGGATAATTGTAAGGTGTTAAATTTATAAAAAGATTGCTTATCCTTGTGCTGCAGACAATGCCTCTATTATAGTAGGTCTAGAGGGTCAATTTTGTAATTTTAGTCGAGTCCAAGTAGATAGCTTAGTCGGCAGTTATTTTACAAGTATCAGCTGTGGACGGAATGAGTCACCCTTGTGATTAATGCGATGATGACTGGGGAAGCATGGTGCTGACGTAGTCAGATGAGTCATAAAGACTTTTGGGGCCTAGAGCAATGATGATTCTGATCATGCATTCAATGTGATGCGATCGACTGTCGGCAAAAGGCTCGAGGATAAACCACCTCCTGACTTGTCTATATGATAGGGTCAACAAATGATCCCTTTCAACTCGGCGAGGCAAGAAGCGACGTCTTTCGAGTCAGTTTGGCGAGAAGGGATGACTGTCTTAACTTGGTGAGAAGGGACGCCTATTTGCTTGGTTAGAAGGGACGCCTCTCTTGCCTTGGCTGGGTTGAGCTAGGGTGCAGTCTGCTTGAGACACGTGTCAGCTAAGTGAATATGATTAATACTTACTTATTTCTATGGCACAATAATACCAAACATCAAAAGTTTTTTAGTAATAAAAAATTAATGTAAGATGACCTTGTTGGTAGACAAAATCTTTGCAGTTTTAACATTGAAGAGATATTTCTGGTGTTGTGATCACACAAGGGGCGCCAAATTTGTTGTATCCTTTTTTAAGTTTTTAAATATTATAAAAAAGGATAAATATTATAAATGCGAGTTTGATAGTTAAACTATCTATATTTAAATTTGAAATTTTGAAATAAAAACTATCTTCCCACTCATTAGGTAAGCTGACTTTTTCTTTTTCTCTTTTTATCTTGGAATAGTGATGAATATTATAAAGAAGAGGATGATAGTAGAATTATCTAATTCTGAATTTTAAATTTGAAATAAAAAGTCATCCTCTCCCTTATTTTTGAAGTTTATTTAAGTTTCAAACTTTTTGAAGAAAAAGCTCTAGCTCAATTATCTAATTTTTAATAATCTATATGTTATAAGTCATTATTATAAGCTATTTGTATCCTCATATCCATAAAAAGATAGAGTATATATAAAACTAGAAAAGAAGCATCAGCAGTTTAGAAAAGTTTTGTTCAATTTAATTTAGAAGCATATACATATGACTAAAGGAGAAACTCGCACAGACCAAGCAAATCAAACATGAAACAAAATAAGTCCAGGCTAATGATGCGGGTTCAGTTTTCATTACCTACTCCTTATTATTTATTCTACATATAAGACTCCTCCGAGCGAGCACGTGCAAAATAGTTATACACAAATATGCTTAAATCCTTAATTAAGAGTATCGAAGTCGTCACTTGCTGATAATTTTTAGTTAATAAAGCAGTTTATTACTGATAGCATCCAATGCTCCTTATAATAGTAGTTATGGTGTGCATTAGTTCAATTTCTTTGTGCAATAATCAACATGTGCTTGAACAGAGAAACCAACTTATTGGAAGTTCTGAAATCAAGTTCATATTATACCAATGTTTTCAAAGAGATAATCAATTAAGTTTATCCATTAAACCAATGTTTTCAAAGAGATAATTAGGTAAGTTGTTTTTATTCAAAACTAACAAATAACAGAGATAATCATGCAATCAAGTTTATCTATCAGGTATGATTTAGTCTTCTAATTGATATGTCATGAATCTAAATTAATTCAGTGCCTAGAAGTAAAAAGATCATGTATTCAATCACAATTATTGGAAATCGTCAATCAAAACCAATTTTACCTCTTACCTTATATTAAAATGAAAAAGAAATGTGTTTCTTTCCACCTTCATACTCTTATACCTGCTCAACATTTTCTTTCCATGATTTTCTTATCGTTTCTGATTACGTAATCTAATGAAAATTTTGATTTTATATTTAATTGTTGGGCACCCTTATTTGTTTCCTTAATACACAAATTTTCATTAATAAATTAATTTTTCTTTCCCTCCAAGAAAATACATGAAAATTTCCCTTTATTTCCTCTTTTGATATTGCCATTAATATTCACGCAAATATCCTATTAAAACCTAGTCATTGAAGGCAGTAATCCCCTTCCATAATTGACATATGCATCTATATATATTTGACTTTGAATGCCACCCTCTTTACGAAGAAGATCAGCAAAACTCCAATTTAATGCATGTTCCTTGATCTTTTTTTTTAAACATCATAATCCTTCTATTTATTTTTCAACTGTTCCATTGTCATACTTCACACAATTCATAACTAACTAAATTTTACTTTTTTTTATTACCAATCTTATGTACAGATCATGCCCACTATAGTCATGGAGGTTGATCTTCAATGCCACCGTTGTTACAAAAAGATCAGAAAAGCAATATCCAAGCTTCATAGTATAATTACTCATATGTTCTCATTCAAGAATCCCTACTGAGGATAAACTCTCTACTAACCTGCATGTATATTTCTCTAAATAAACCTGCAGGCCGGTTCAATATCCAATCCACCGTCTTCGACGAGGAAACCAACACCGTTACAATCTCCGGCCCGTTCGACGCTGACAAAGCAAGGAAGAAGCTCTGCTACAACGCCGGCAACAGTATCAAAGACATACAAATCAAAGGCACCGAAGAGGAGGAGGAGAAGCCTCCTGAGGACAGTAATCCGGCCGAGCCAGAAGAGGACTCTAAACCGGAATCTGAACCGGACGAACCCGAGGAAAACAAGGCTAAGGGTGCTGAGCCGGTCGCTGAACCGGCTTATAATGGGTACTATGGATACGACTGGCCTCCTCTGGCCGGTTTATGAGGGCGGGTATAGGTATCATAGCATGTTTTCTGATGAGGATCCGCAGGCTGCATGCGGTATCATGTAATTTGCATTTTGTGCCTTTTTTAACTTTTCTTTTAGCCTTGAGAAGTCCCATGTGACAGGAGATTAACGAGTTCGTCTATTTTTGATGAGTTTGATGATTTCGTTGAGTTTAGTTTCTCTCGTCTGTAATAGGGAACTTGTTTGGTTTGTTTGCAAGTAGAGCAAACAAAAATATTAGTTAGTGAATCCTACCTTTTCCATTCGGATTTATTTTGGTATCTTCTTGGTTAGAGAACGATTATTGTTTATACTGTTAATTAACTGTGTAGTCCTTTTGTCTTATTAACTATAATTTTATCATGTTTTCTTTAGCCCTGTAGTTGGCGGTTTCCGTCGTATATAATCAAATCATATGTACCCCAATTGATTTGTTGATTTCTTAAATTCTACATTGTTGAGGTTAATTAGAAAATTTCTTAAATTATGCCTTGTGGATATTAATTAGTTAGGCGATTCAACTGGTCATGTGAGCGTCTATGTTGATGCACAATTCAACTAATAAAAAAAATCTCTTGGTGCAAGTTTACCTACCCTTGTGAAAATTGCACTTAAAACTGTTAAGGATAATTCGTGAAAAATATTGAAAGTTGAAGGGGTTTTTATGAGAACCCTAGAGATTAACAAGGATTGTGAAATGTGGGCCAAAACGTAATAAGAGTGATTTTCTAAGAGTTTATCCTTTTATTTTCGTTATCCGGTCATGAGGTACGTTAGGAGATATACATGCAATAGCTGTAATTCACGCCCACTATCAATGATCACATTGTAGATCTTCTCTGTGTGCATTGATTGTAGAACACATTATGTTGTTGTCGATGCTTCTCGATTCAGCTGGCTGCATGCATTGTTAAGCAGCTTACACCACAGCTGCCTACATTGTTAAGTTGAAGAATCTGTTGGCGCTGGTGCGATCTCGAGCTGGTTTGGTGGCGTCGGGTTCCAGATTTGCTGCCAGTACTACCTGATCGAATCACAGTTCGTATAGTTGCAGTTATATACCCTCAAGTGTTTCGGCAACATTTTAAGTACCTTGTACTTTCTCCTACTTTACACGTATATACCCTCAGTTATTTTTGGCAGCGTACCTTAAATTTTTTAAAAGTTGTACTTAAATACCTTCGATTATGCAAACGCAATAATTTTCGTTCTCCCTTTGGGGGAAATTCTCATGCAAGACTCACATGCTAATGTTAGCACTTTTTAATCCTTAATTTTTGTTAAATATATTTTTAAAATTAATGTAGTTCTATTTTTAAATCTTTGGTGATTCTATTTTAAATAGTTTTGATAGATTTAACTGTAAGTTTAACAAATACCAACAGTTAGAATGTTCTAAAATTAGCATACGAGTGTCGCATAAGAATTTTCAAGGGTAAATTCGACATGTTTGTGTAGTTGAGAATGTTAAACTGCAAATTAAAAATTTTAGGGTATAATAACTGCCGCAAATAACAACTGAAGGTATACAAGTGCAAACTAGGGGAAACTACAGTGCATTTAAGAGCAATTAAGACAACATCCTCGAGTCGTTTATTAGTTAGGCCATGTTTGGATTAGAGACTTTATAAATCCAGGGATTAATCTAACTCGCTATAGCCCTGGGATATAATAGTCCAGTGGACTATAGTGAGTTAATTATTTAATAGTATGTTTGGTTCAAAACGGTATTAGCACCTCCACTAGTAGAAAAACGACCAATCTAGACGGAACAACCTAGATGGAAAAAATTTCCGTCTAGGTTGAGTCAAACTAGACGGAAATTTTCCGTCTAGGTTGATCTGTCTAGTTTAGGTCAAACTAGACGGAAAATTCCGTCTAGTTTGACAAATAAGACGGAAAATCAACCTAGACGGAATACCGTCTAGATTGACTATCAACCTAGACGGAATGTCGTCTAGGTTGCCTAGGGCAACATCTGCCGCC